CCACCCTTCTCAATTTATAACTTCTTACTTTTGCTGTTCTGCACCTTTGGGTTTGAGGAGAATACGTTGAGCATAAACTTTGGAGTTATGGGAAACATAGAGCACTTTTTGCTGTACATATGTTAATTTTTTTAGGATATTTACAAAATCGTTCAAGAGGTTTGACTTGTTAACAAGAATCCCCATTATATTACTGATCGTGATAGTTGATCAAGCTGGGACATCATTTATAGAAAATTTAGTTCAACTCTTGGTTCGACTTTATTGTTGTCTTTACTTGATGTTGGTTTCTGATTGGTTGTTTGATTATCCTTGTAGCATAATTTTTGCAATGTAGTACAAAACGACAATATAGTTGTTATCGTTTCCCCTCTAGCTAGTAGTTATGGAGGTTTTATATTATTCTTCCTTTATTTTTTTGCCTCTTCTCTTGATCAACACAGCTATTTAATATTATCCTTTATAAATTATGTGACTCTGTTTGACTCACCTTGACATTCATAAAGTTCCATTTGTAGTCACATTGGGAATTGTTACATAAGCAATGTATAATGACATTAGATATTGTGTTTTTCTTTCTTTTTTGGAACTCAGTGGCTCTATTGCTGAGCGTTTAAAAGGAAATTACTGTTCCTTACGAGTCATGAATTACTTGACCACCCACCCTCTATGTTCTTGCCTAGCTATTATCGTGATTAGCTTAAGATTTTAATGAGAGAATTTTCGTGAATGTCATTTTACAGCATTCACAGACAAAGGAAAGTTTCTCCTAGCCGCACGTAGGTACAGAAGTCGTGCCCACACGGAATACATTATTTCACTCGACGCCAGTGATCTATCTCAAGGAAGTAAAGCTTATGTTGGAAAACTGAGGTGAGGATTTTTATCCACCCATTCCTGAATAACTCAGACCCGGGTAAAATTTTAGCTATATAAAGAATAATCCATAATGCTAGTTTACTTGAAAACCGAAACTCTTTCATCTGCCGGTTTTAAGGTGCATTTTGTCCCTCAAAATATTAAGGGTGAGTTTGTTAAAGGAATAATTTGAGTGAATTAACTCAAAGTGAATTTTTTTGAGTTAACTAGGGTTAATTTAGAAAAAGTGGTGTAGTTAGTTGTTAGTGGGATTTTGAGTTTATATTAAAATAATATTTAAAATAAATTAATTAAAATTGGTTTGATGTAAAAGTAGGAGATAGATGATATGAAGTGATGGTATTATGAAGTGATGGTTAGTTAATATTATATGAGTGGATGAATAGTGAATTAAAGTTGATATAATGTGTAAAAATGATTGGTTGTTATTATTTAATGATTAGTTGCTATTATTTAATTATATTGATAATATTGAGGATAGTAGGGTTGAGTTAAAGTTGAGTTAGATTTTGAGTAGAATTAATTTGGTTTGAGTTTTTCCTTTAACAAACACAGCCTAAACTTCCAACGACCAAATCACTCATCTCAATCACAACAGGTCTGATTTTCTCGGCACCAACTTCACAATTTACGACAGCCTGGCGCCCCACAGCCGGGCCAAACCATCCAGCAGCCGGGCCTGCCGCCGGATCGCGAGCAAGCAAATAAGCCCACAAGTCCCGGCCAGCAACTTCGAGGTGGGCCACATCTCGTATAAATTCAACCTCCTCAAATCGAGGGGCCCAAGGCGGATGGTGTGCTCCATCACATGCCCACCATCCGAAGAAAAAAATAATCTAGGGGGCCCAATATCACCATCTGCTGTTGGGCCTGCAGTGGTCTTGAAAAACAAGGCCCCAAGATGGCACGAGCACTTGGAGTGTTGGTGTTTGAATTTTCACGGCCGGGTTACAGTTGCCTCGGTTAAGAATTTCCAAATGGCTGCAACTAATGATGAGGAGACTGTGCTTTTGCAGTTTGGGAAAGTTGGGGACGACACTTTCACGATGGATTACAGGAAGCCCTTGTCTGCTTTTCAGGCGTTTGCTATTTGTCTCACGAGTTTCGGGACGAAGCTGGCCTGCGAGTAAAGGTTTGTGGGGGAATTTTGGGAGATGGAGAAAAATGTGTGGGTGATTGTGTTATATAGNGTGTATTAGCTGCTGTGTATAGGTGATGTTTGTAATGTTTGTTACATGAGTTTTGAAGTAAAATAGATTTGAACTATTTTTTTTTTATTTTATTTTATTTTCGTTTCTGTGGTCCTTTTAAAATTGTGAATGGTTTTTTTTTATAATTATCAAATGTAATTTGCATATTTTTGTACAGGCTACAGAAAATGTTTCGTAATTATCATGTTTAATATTAATTATCTGGTGCATTTAATTATAAATCTTTATTAGATTAAATTTCATAATATCCTCATTGTTGTTCTAGATGCTGTAATGCGTGTTAAATCTGGCACCTCATGTGCCATGGATGACACGAATTGTTTAGAGGCACAGACTGTTCAAATAATGTTGGGTCCCATTTTACATTCCAACAAGTGTTCATTGATCTGGACTGTGAGTTGAGCGAGTCGCGAGCATTAAAATCAATGCTCAACCCAAGTTTGAACTAGACCCGAGTCTGAGTAGTTCAATGGAGCAAACAATTGAGCATCACTTCAAAAGGCTCGTAAGCTCTGACGAGTCTTGACTTTTTATCTTACATAAATATCTCATATACTTTAATTATCAATATTTGAATACCATGCACATATTAGAATACCATGCAGAAAATTAACTATTCAGATTAAAAGTAGTACCCTTCAATAAAGTTTAGTTGTTAAAATTTTAAGCCGAACTCGAGCCATGTCGAGCACTATTTTACATGGCTCGTCGAGCTCAAGCATTAAAAAAAAAAAGTTCAATTTGCGCTCGACAAGATCCATGCTCGACTCGACTCGTTTGCAGCCCTATATTATACACTTCTAGATATTTCATGAAGCCCAGTTTCATAACAAGGATTAAATATTAAATGGATCCATAAGCACCCAAATTCTCAAATTCTACTATTTCCAGCAACAGACCATGTCTCACAAGAAAACTCTTTATAGTTTACTGAGGCAAGAGAGTAAGAGTGAACAGAAGAACGGGTAATCATAAAAGATGTCATTTACATCACCACTTTTTAGACCTCAAAGGGGCAATGGGAAGTGCAAAAGGATCGACCTTTTTCCTCTTTTAACTAAGGTTTTTTTATTTCTTTCCACGCAGTTTCACACCAAGGGCCCTCTCCAGTTTGGAAATGATCTGCTGATTGGGAATTGCCTTCCCAGATTCGTACTCCTGTATGATCTGTGGCTTCTCATTTATCAACTGCAAGTAACCATAGGATATATAATCAATAAAAAAAAAACTAAAAATTTGTATACTTGAGCTGTGATGTGAGTGTGAGATGGGCAATCGAACCTGGGCAAGTTGAGATTGTGTAAGCTTCTTATCTGTCCGGGCCTGCATGATGGCCCTCTTCAGTTCACTTGGGACCTTCTCGTCTGTTAAATAACAGAAATAATTTAATAAAATACATAAATCTATTTTTCATTGATACATTAGCGGTTCACTAATTTTGTATCTCTATGCAAGATAAATGAATTTGGTCTTCTAAAAAGTGCTAATAGATACACCCTGGTTCAGATTTTCATATGCAATTTTCATTTTATAGATTGACATTTTAAACATGTGGATGTGATACATACTTCAACCAAGCTCAATAGTTATAAGTTATAACCCGTTTGAACCTTTAGTAAGAGTCGGATAATGATATTCCTTTTACATATAATCCTAAAAGCATGCAGAAATGAGAAGACATAATATGTCATGTATATTACATTAGAAGCATTTCAGAGTGCAGTGTACATTTCAGAGTGCATATGAAATTAAATATAATAATTCAGGATTCAAAATGTCTGATCTCATCTCAAATTCTAGTTAGCATATATGAATGAAAAGTTGAAACTTAGGAACTTGTGACTACGATTCCTAACCACACAACTTAACTGTGTCAAAATTAAATCAAAGAGCAAGCCTCTTCAACTTCGAATACCACGCAAGTCAATAACTGAAACTCATGTAATAGATATTATTTAACTAACTAATCTTAGATTCCATTAAACAAACATAACTAAACTAATCCTTTATGCCATAAACAAACATAGTATCTCAACTTACGAGTAAGATTTTCAGTGTCTTCATCAAGCTTCCTGGTGTTTAAAGAGGTGCTGCTTGAAGCAGCTTTGTTTGTCCCCGCAGCAGCTGCAGAATAGCATTTTTTTTTTTTTTGTCATTAATCATAGACAAAAAAGGCCAAGTAAGGATGAAGTTAATAGCACAGGACAAATACGAACAAGCAATTGAAGAACCCAGATGCAAAATACGCAAACATTCACAAACTCATGTGAACCAGCTAAGGGAAAACCTTTCAGGTGGATTACAGACTAAAACCCAAACAGCTCGTTCTAACATGGAATTCAGCCATGGAAGAATCAAATATTTTTGGTAAAAAAAGAAAAGATCTTCTCGTTTATTGCAACAAAAATAACATCATATATCTAGAGTCCTGGAAAACTCAAAACTTGGAACACAATAGATTTTCAGATATTAATTTATAACCAAGATAAAAACCTTCTCAACGAATGTAACCTTTACATCGGAGATAAAACATTGATAACAAAAACAATCATTATTTAACCTACGAACAATTAAAATCAATGTGAAACATATGAAAAGAACCNCCGAAAAAAAAAAAGCAAAATACCAGGAAAATAAATAAACAAAACCCATAATTTAACCCATAACGCAGTTTTCCGGCGGATATCACACAGTTAGTAGATACCCTAAACCAAACAAATATAAATCAAAATCCAAAAATTGGAAACCTAAATCACACGCATATATGCACGAAGATACACAACAAGAGCAAAAAACGCACACTTTCTGACGGTCTCGATCTCGGCCCCGGCGCGGCGGGCCGCGTTGACGGCTTTCTCATCTTTCCGTGCGGCGGCGGTGGGTGCTTTCTTGCGAATCACCACCGGCTCCCAGTCTTGAGAAATTCCTGCCATCTTTTGTTGCTAATGTTAATCTTCGTTCGCCGCTTCAAGAATCTGTGGGTGGGTTTGTGTGTGTTTTTCTTCAAAAGTAGTGGCTTGGGGAAGGGGATGGCTGATTTTATTGTGAAATAAAATATCGAATAAATTCCCTTACCAAAAGAGAGTAGAGGAAGATAGAAAGTGAATATTTTTCGTTTGACAAATAATAATATGTAATAGCATAATTATCAAAATATTATACTATATTATTTTTTAAGTATGATATTTGAATATAAAAATATGGATATTAATTTAAAATGTAGGGCAGTCCTTCCTTTGAGTTTGATACAAATGACTAAAATATCGTCTATTATCATTCAATCAAATAAAAATTTATTGTATGTATATTTTGCTAGGCGCATAACCAAAAAGCCAGATAGTAGTGTTATACTCGAATATAAAATCAAATCTCGAAAATATGAGCATGCTTGTATACAAAATTTCTTAAAAAAATTCAAATATTTTTAACTCAATTACTTTTTTTTAACTTAATTTTAACTCAATCCCACTATCATCAATATTATCAATATAATTAAATAATCAATCATTCTTACACACCACCTTATCTTTATTCATTATTCATCCACTCACATAATTTTAACTAACAATCACTTCAAATCTTCTTTCTCATACTTTACATCAAATCAATTTTAATCATTTTATTTTAAATATTATTCTAATTTACATATTTTTGTATGCAAATTCCTAATTTTTAAGTCTCCATCGTTGTAGATATTTTCTTATTAAATTTTCTATGGCCATGCACTTTAATTATTTTTATAAACATTATACTATTAAATAGACTATAAAAGAATAAGTCTCACTATAATTCCAAAAAAAATATAAAATGTTTGTTAACTTTGTTTATTTTTCAAACCTTGTTACAATTTATTAGTTATATTATAATTAATTATGTAGTGGAATAATTTTATTTTTCATTACATTATACGGGTCGGGTCGATGTCCTACATTATATAAACTCAAGTTATCCGTTTACCCGTCGGGTAAAACCCTATCCAAATCTGAAAACTAATAGACGGGTAACAAGTCAGGTTCAGGTAAGGTAAAATGTAATGTGGGTAGAGTCTTGGTTTACCAAAACCCGTACCCGACCCATTTCCATTTTGACCCATAAGGTTATTCAATTAAGAATTATTTTGACCCATTAAGTTACATAAATGGAATCTATTATTATATAAAAAGAATAACCTTTTTACAAATTTAGAAACATTTTCCCGCCAAAATCATTAAATATATCATACATATAGTAATTGTTGGACAAATCTGAATAAGCAAATAAATTAGCTCATTAATTGTGTAAAAAATTGTTTCTTTTTTTCCTGAATTTTAGTTTATCAAAATCGTTGTTTGACAATAAATATTTGTTTTCTTTTTCCTATTTTTAGTATAAATCTACACGAGTTTATCTCTTCTGATACAAAATCCCATTGCATACGTCTCACGTCTTTAAAAAATCTCATCCCTTATCTATACAGATTTGAAAAAACAAAATAAAATAGAAACCAATTCATAATTACTACTAGAAATCCGTTAAAAAAATAAAATAAAATAAAATAGAAACCAATTCATAATTACTACTATAAAAAAATTATCTACTTTAATAAGCTAATTTTCATCGGTCTAATTACTAATAACTTTACAAATATTATAATATCTACTTTAATGAGCTAATTTTCATCAGTCTAATTACTAATATTTTTACAAATATTATAAGCTAATCATACAAAATAGTATAATAATAATTTTAAAATGGTATGTAATCAAATTTTTTTATATTCTCTTATACATAATAATTTACCGAATCTTTAATTTATAATTATTAAATATTGTTTATCCTCCTCTTTAATTTATAATTATTATTTTTTCTTCCTCTTTTTAAATAGGATCAATAGTAGTTTCCACTTCCGCCATTGAGTGACTCAAACTCGAGGTCTATTTATAATATTGTTAATTTAATATTGTTCTCGTGCATCGCACGGGTACACACTAGTGATTAAGTGAAACTAAAACATATGAATCGATTTAAGTAAAAATCAACTGTATAGGTCGATTAAGTAACAATCAGTCTCATCAATGCATTGTGCTGCATTCTTCACCACAAGTACAAAGAGAACCAAGAACAAAACACAGCTAAATATTACAATAGAGTACCCACAAAGTGTCGTCACATTCACAAGGCAATGATCAAGAAAACTCAAAAATAAGAAAGAAATGGCATTCATCTATCCACCTGCCCACACGAAAAGCAAAAAAAAATGGAGAGAGGAAAAAAGAAGAACCGAAAAAGAACTCTTCTGCTCAACATGAAATGCACATATTAGAAATCTCCTCGAGGAAAAGAAGGCAACAGCCCGAGTTTTTTCCTGCAGTCACAGCTCTCCTCATCGTGAATAATAGTGTAATTCGAGCTGCTCACGTTTCGAAAATAACACGAGTTGTCGCTCGTGTACCGATATTCTTGCCGAGTGCTTCCCAATCCACTAACCACCAAACTTCCCTTCACGAACACATTCCCCTCCGCACTCTGCAAATTCTCCAGCTTGCTCGTAAATGTTCCAACACCCGAACTCACGCGCCTCTTTTCATCGAACCCCAAAGTCACATTTGCCACTGACTCGTAACTTTTATTGCCCTTGTCGATAATATCCGAATGAAGATAAAGCGTAAACTCCTTTTGGGACTCGAGATATAACACGGTGGACGAAGCTTTCTTCATAACGACACTGCAGTTTGATTTGATAACCTGATTCAAAATCTGCAAATTCGCATCATTGCCCATCGCCATTCGGTTGCTATAACCAAACTCTTGGACCGATTTAGTCGTGATGGCCCCAAGTGACGATTTCACGCGCCCGGTGGAGATTATCGACCGCGTCGCGTTCGTGAGAAATAACCCGTCAAAACCCGTGAAATTCGAAAAGAGCGTGAGCGAAATTGGAGACTCCTTGTGTTCCAATAGCTCGCCTTCGGTTCTCGCGCTCTTCTTGTCGAGCCAAAGATGCAAATTCGCGTCGAGGTACCAAACGTTGAGAGCGTTTCTCACGCTAAACGAGAGTTTGTGCGTTTTCCCATCCAACAACTCTCCGAGAAAAGGCGTGATCTCGAAATCGTACGATGGGAGGTCGAACGAGCCTATTCCGGTAATGGGCCTCCACATGAGGGGGTTTACGCCCCCGGTGTAGATCACAGTGAAGGGCCAAATTGAGCCCACTATATAATTGTCGAGGCCCACGATAACCTCGCGAAACGGGCCATTCCCCGGGGATCCGGTGAGGTTATTTGCGGAAAGGTACTCGTTCGGATAGTTTCCGAACCAGAACTCGTCGTTTTCGTGGAAAGAGACGTACACTTCCAACACGGCGCGGTGAGTGTTGGGAGGAATATCGAATTCCTTCGACTGAACGTCGGTCGAGTTCTGGATCTCGAACCAGAGCCCGTCGTTCAGGGGTAGGGTTCTGGAAATTGGGAGTATCAAATCAGCCCCAATTTCCCCAAATTCGTCAGAACGACGGTGATTCAATTTCTCAGCAGGATAGAAATGGAAAACAACATTCACATGGTACACGCCTGTGTAGGTACTATCGATGAGATTTCCTAAGTAAACAGCAAGCGTCTGATTGGTCATCAGCAGAGAATGGTACCTTGTGACGTCCTTCTTTACCGTCCAGATAATGCCGGTGGCACGCGGCTCTGCCGTGCAGCTGCGGAGGATCTCGACGCCGCCGAGCCAGACGCCGAAGATCCGGTCGAATTGGCGGCCCTTGCAGGTCGCGGTCCACTCGAGCACGATTTTGGCGAATTTCTGGGAGAGGCAGCTGGAGGGGGGTTTGTAGTCGGCGAGGACTGGGGGTTTGCCGTATGTGTAAGCAAATTCGTGCTCGAGGACTGTGTAGGAGCAAGGTTTGGTGTTTGGGACGGTGATGGGTTTTGTGACTTCGAAGAAGGTGGTCGGAGGAGTGTCGGCGGCGGGCTGTGAGGCGGGGTTGGGGATGGATTCCGATCGGAACAGGGCGGAGGTAGTGCGGAGGTTCGCGGCGGCGAGCGGCGGGCGGTGGAGGAGGGTGAGGATGGGGAGGAGCAGGAGGAGAGAGAAAGTGGGAGCCATTTTCACTGAGCTGAGCTCAGTGTGGCCGTGTGGGGTTTTTAACTTTTTATCGAACTAAAAGATCTGAATATAATCAGCCATTGAAATTTGGTTTATATAGTTAAAAGTCAAAATATTTTTTTTAAGGGAAAAGTCCAAAAGTGGTCCTCCATATTTTGGGTATCCAGACTGAGTCCCTATTATGTTTTAGTGCCCAATTTTGGTCCTTAAAACAAACAAATGTAGTCCCTATAATAAAGAAAGTCCACTTTTGGTCCTCCATGTTTAGGGGTATCCAGACTGAGTCCCTATTATGTTTTGATGCCCAATTTTAGTCCTTAAAACAAAATGATGTAGTCCCTATAATAGGGAAAAGTCCACTTTTGGTCCTCCATGTTCAGGGGTATCCAGATTGAGTCCCTATTATGTTTTGGTGCCCAATTTTAGTCCTTAAAACAAAAAAATATAGTCTCTTTACATCAATTTCTGTGAATTAACGGTCCATTTTTGCTCGACCGTTATGTTCTTTATTTTTTTTAAAATTTGTTGACTAATGTTAACTTTAACCAAAGAAAAATAAAAGAAAATTTAAATGCTGAAAAGTAAAAGAAAAAGCAGAAATGATGAACTACAGTGAAATGTAGAAAAAAAAAATCTAACCGCCTAGGGACTAAATCCAATCAAGTGGATGGAAATTGTATGGTATTTTGTAGATGTGGGCTGATTACAAAGTTGACTACATGCTGGAAGGATGATAATCCCAGTCCTGTAAGTACTTTCCGTGAACTTCAATTGGAATACCCCTTTCTTCTTATTTATTGGACTGATGAAAAGAAATGGTTAAAAAAACAGAGGGTTGATAGGTGCAATTTTTTCGATGGCATGATCCGAAAATAGGTGCAAGAGCAGTAGCTGTGATTCCAGGCTTGCTCCGCAGCGCGAATGCTAGGGAAATAGAAATCAAACGAGCAAAAATTTTAATTTAATTTAGTGCAATTTCTTGTTTTAGTTTAATTTTTTATTAATATATTTTTTAGCATTTAAATTTCCTTTTATTTTTCTTTGGTCAAAGTTGACATTAGTCAACAAATTTTAAAAAAATAAAGAACATCACAGTCGAGCAAAAATGGACCGTTAATTCACAGAAATTAAGGTAAAGAGACTACATTTTTTTGTTTTAAGGACTAAAATTGAGCACCAAAACATAATAGGGACTCAGTCTAGATACCTTTAAATATGGAGAACCAAAAGTGGACTTTTTCCTATTATAGGGACTACATTTTTTGTTTTAAGGACTAAAATTGGGCACCAAAACATAATAGGGACTCAGTCTGAATACCCCCTAAACATGGAGGACCAAAAGTGGACTTTCCTTATTATAGGGACTACATTTGTTTGTTTTAATGACTAAAATTGGGCACTAAAACATAATAGGGACTCAGTCTGGATACCCCTAAACATGGAGGACCACTTTTGGACTTTTCCCTTTTTTTAAGACAATAATTTTAATAAATATGAAGCGTTGGTAAAATGATATTGTAGATCCGCTTTCATAATGAAATGATTATGGGCATAAAAAAAATACCAATCTTGGAGTGGAAAACAAGTGTGAAATTATTGTATGTAGTTAGAGGAAAATTATTATTTAGATATGGTATCCAACACTTTGGGGTATGTTTTGTAATTAGATATTCGTACAGTATAATGGGTTGATGTTCAAACTTCAAAGACACTCATAGAGAAAAGGACATACACATATATTAATAGAAATCGAACTTAAAAATCTTTAGAATTCCTTCATAATAATGAAAGAGTTTACAATGGAAAAAAAAAATAGTTATGATTAAATGCTAAAAATTAAANAGTAGAGGTCATAAAACTTTTTTTTTTGTCCCGAAACGATAGATATTTTATAAAAACGCAAAACCACGTAATTACAGCTAGACAACAGCTAGAATAGCTAAACAGCCAACCAGCTGAATCCAGGAGGTCTACACGGAGGTAGCCTAAAAACAACTACACTAACACACCCACTAAACAGCTCCCAACAGGAGAATAACACGCTCCCAAAAGGAGAATACACGAGGTCATAAAACTTAAAAGACTAAAAAAACTACTCTATCATGAAAATCTATGTCGTTTGTGAGTTAGAGAGAATGAGAATGGAAATGAGATTCGGGTTCTAAGTAGGGGTATGACATGGCCAGGCTGGGATGGGCTCCAGACTCCAGTCCGGCCTTAATTTTATTGTCATGTTTCCCAATTTTTATCTTTTATTTCTATTGTGTGGTTAAGTAAGATTTATATTGAACAATGTTATTTGAAAGACTATTAATTCATATACTTATATTGTAAAGCATATTTAATATATGACATGTAAACCTTTACAATTTTAGTGACACATCTCATATAACAAGTAAATTAGATTGAAGCGACTAACGGTTGGCCCGCCTTATAGTTGTATCAGAAATAGATTATATTATTTTTCTAATTAAAATTCAAGTGTAAAGAAGATGAGTTTATCTTAAATTTGAGCAATTTCCATATGAAATCTTCATATATTTGTTCAATTAACATTTCTATTTTACAAAACAACACGTCATAATTTTAGTAATTTATTCTTATTCATTACACAGAGTGGTTCATATAATTTACATTAAATAGTTAAAATTGATATTTATATATTTTGATTTTTTTTTTCATATATGGCATTAGTGGTGTTATTCAAGAAGTCGAATACATCACATTCGAACTCATGTCCGTTTAACAAACAATTCGGACTTTTTTCACACGACATATGTAAAATGAAAAACCAAGTATTTCAATCACAAATTAATACAATAATAGTTCTTGAAAAACTTTTAGGTGAACAATATCATATTATACAATGTAATAACTAATAACTACCTCCTTTTTTTTTAATTGCAATGTCATCCCCAAGCATTTAATTATTGCAATTTGGTGGAAGAGTTGAAATAGCTGCTACCAATGACTCGCATGGGTACCAATGGTTGTCTCAGGCAGGGCTAGGCTGAAATTTTGACAGTCTCGAGCTAACTAGAAAATCGATTATGTGTTGGGTCTTGGGAGAGCAACATGTAGTAGTAAGTCATAACCTTAACCTAATAAGAATCAATACTTCTT